GTAGAGAGGGAGGGGGGAAAGGGGGGTTAGGTACGACGACGGTACGGGGAGGGAGGAGAAGGGAAGGTTAGGGTACGGTCGTCGACGTTGTAGTCGACTTACTTCTACACCTCTCTCTCTCTCTCTCTCTCTCTCTCTCTAGAATTGCAAGAGGGGGGAGAAGAGAGGAGGTCGTTTAGCACATGGGCGATGGAGGCCTGTGCATAGGAGGGAGGGTATATAAAATGGGGGCGAGGACCAGGAGGAACAATTTAACATTAATTATAATTAATATCCGATTTGTGCATGTCTATGGGTAGAGATGGATACGCTGAAAGAAGTTCGAGGGAGAGGGGGATTTGAGTATTTTAGAGAGAGAGAGAGCGGGATTTGAGTATTTTAGAGAGATAGAGGGGAATTTGGATATTTTTTGGGGAGAAGAGAGAGAAAGTACCTGCAGGTACTTTTGGTGGTGAAGAGAAGAGAAAGTACCTGGAGTAATAATTTAGGGAAGAGAGAGGAATTGAGTATTTTAGAGAGAGTATCGAGTATGTGGCAATTTCAATTTGATATTTTTTTTTTAGAGATTAGAATGGATATTTTTTAGAGATTAGAATGGATAATTTAGGGAAGAGAGAGGAGGAAAGGGTATGGACACTAGGTTGAAATTATTAAAAGGAGAGTGGGGAATTATTGGGTTGGGAATTTGGAGAGGAGGTGGGTATTTTGTGGTGGAGTAATTTGTCGAATTTTACAGATGTCTTGTGGTTCAAGTGAGGGAGAAAGAAGGCAAGACACCAAATTCGTTGAAATTGAGGCAAGACGGTCAAGCATGTCTCTTTGTCTTTGGTTATTTTGTTTGTTTTTGTTTTTGTTTTTTTGGGGTGTCCCATTTTGCTCTTGATTACAAGTGAAGAGAAAAAGGGTCATATATTTGTTTTATTTTAAGATGTTTTTTTTAGGTAAAGTTTTTAAGGAAACGGTTTCTATGCTTCTTCTACAACTTGATCAAGAGAACCACTCATCATTTGATCTTAGATCTGACGTCTCAAAGTATTTTATTTTTAGTTTTTTCTATACAAATTGTATGAATATGAAATTTGGTTCGTGACATCTTCTCATAGGGGCACACCTATAAAAAATATTAAAAATAATTTTTCGATAAAATATAATGATCAAAATACCTCTTGAAAATTTCAAAGGTATTTTGGTCATTTTATTTTATTGAAAATATTTTTTTTATATATTTTTCACTAGTGCGAATTTAATAGAGGAATGGACGTCCAAAATTTGATGTCAAAATAGTTTTAAAAAAAATTAAAAATAAAATAGTATAGAGACGTGACATTGTGATTGGGGCAATCTGAGCTCTCCATTTAGAATGGACGGTTGGATAAGAAGGAGGATAGAACTTCTAGACTGTAGGGGAAGCATAGAAAGCTTGCCCAAGTTTTAATAAATAAGTGTATATAATGATACTATATTTTTAAAAAAATTAATTGTACATAATAATACTATATTTTTTTAAAAAAATAATTGTATATGATGATATCATTTTTTTTTGGGAAAAATTTATATTAAGGTTGCAACCTTAAAATGTAGAATCACAGATGCACCTCAAACATCTATCGAAAATGTTGTTTTAATGTTGAAAAAGCTCTATAATCAATCATCTCGACATCAAGATCTATGAATATGAAAAAGAAAAAAGAAAAAAAATTGAATATCGGAAATAGTGCATCTTGCAACACATTATCTAGACCATCCATTTTCAAGATTTTCATATATTTATAGATCTACTTGATTTTAACCATTTTTGAAATTTAAAAATTTCTAATTAGTATGAAAATAGATTTTAAGATAATGTTAAGAATTTTTTACAACAAAATTGCATGTTATGATAAAAATTTAAGGTTCGCTTTAATTGGATTGTTTAAGGTTGCAACCTTATGGAAACCACAGCCTTTTTTTTTATTACGAGGATGTCACAATCATTTTTAGCCATTTTATGTAAAATCTAAAAGATAAAAGTGTAGTACAACATTTCAGAAATTTTTATTTTAGATATTGTGCCTAAACAATGATACATCCTTAACAACCCGATTTCATACACACCCTGAACCACCCAATTTCAAATCTAATAGTCAACGATGATCGTGACATCCTTGTGTCAAAAGTAAATGGTCTCATTGTATACATTTATTTTTAAAATATATATTTTATTATTGATAATAACATATATAATATCTTGGTAAAATGAATTTATTAAGACAATCTATGGTGTTTTATTATTATTATAAAAATTTCTTTTCTAAATAATTATTTCTCCTTTGTAAAAAAGAAAAAATCAATTACCTAGAAACAACTCTAAAAATCTCAAAAACAAAATCACAAAGCAATTTAGAAGTTGTTGATACTGTTGAAGTTGTTAAATTGGATAATGAATTTTCTTATTTTAATTTTGATTTATATTGGAATGATTTTCAACTTTCAGTCATAAACCTCTTAAAGTATTTATATTTTTATTATGTATAATATGATTTCATTTTAATATTGTCAGTAAACAATAAAAAAATTATTAAGTTTTATATATATTGGGATTGTATATTATGAAGGTTGTGGTTTCTATACGGTTGCAACCTTAAACAATCTATTTAAGGCGTTTTTCCAAATTTGATCATAACAAGCAATTTTGGTGTAAATGTTTTTTAGGATTATGTGAAAATCTATTTTCATATCTAATTATAAAATTTTAACCTCCAAAATTTTTTAAAATCTAGTAGATCTATAAACATATGAAAATCTTGAAAATGGAATGTCCAGATAATATGTTGCAATTAGAGAGTTTTTCAATTAGAGTGTTTTTCAATATTAAAACAACCTTATCCGATGGATTTTTGAAGTGCATCTTTAACTCTACAGTTTAATGTTGCAACCTTATATAAACTTTTTCCTATTATGAAACTATTTATTTTTGTTATCAAGAGGTCATAATTATTTTTTGTTATTAAATATTCAAAACAAAATTTCTCATACTTTATGACTAGCCCAAGCCATCTAATTTGATAACTAATGAGTAGGAATCACTGTGATCTCCTTGTAAAAAACATAAATAATCTCATTACATGTAATCCCTTTGATAATATATATAAAGGAAAAGTATACAATGAGACCATGTACTTTTTGTATAAGGTGGTCACAAGTAATATTAACAATTGGATGTGAAATTGGGTAGCGGCATTTATTCTATGAGTAATGACCCTATGAGGCCCTCCTATGCCCATGTGTGTAGGACCCTTAAAGGATCACCATTAAATTTGATACAAATCTCTAGAAAAGTTATTATATGAATGTGAGACTTGATTTTTCTAGAGATATGTATCAACTTTAATAGTGATCCTTTGAAGTTCTATACACATAGGTGTAGGAAGGTCTCATAAGATCATTACTCTTATTCTATTGATCAAGGTCAAAATTCAAAAATAATTTCCTTGAAGTTTGTCATACACTCAAAGTATCAAATTTCATATCGGATGGTTATAAATAATTGTGCCCTCATTGTACAATAGGTAGATGGTATATAATTTCATATATGACTAAACCTCGAGCCCGATGACGATAATGAGCTCTGAAGAGATGATTTTTGTTGTATTCGAATTATTTGTTTTTTAATAGAGGGAAATTTGTGTTGATCATTGTTTTGGGAAAGGGTTTCCCAACCCGGAGTATTTGTTTGGACTGTGGGTTGGAGTAACTACTCTTTTAAATGAGCTAAAAGATTTTACAAGCGGGAGTATAATGTCTATTTACTCCCTCAGGCAATCAATGTAACAGTAATTATAGAACTTAGAACTTTAAATTTGGGGATGTACCTCTTTAACCTATAAACTAACTCCAATAAAAAAATTATACAAATTATTCCCTCTATGCCCCTTGCAAAAATAATGCCTCAAGGCTAAACTGTGACCGTCCATTTTTGAAAGGGTAAGATCTAAGTGCTAACAAGCTCAGAATTCAACTTTTTTTATTTGAAAATAATCATATAGTAATTTTTAGATGGCTTTCAAGATTTTAAAACACCATGCCAAGTAGGTCTTCTATTTGAGGGAGTAGATCTACAATATGCTCTTGCAGAAGCATAGTATACATCCTTTTTTATGTCAGGGAAAGGTTTACTATATGTGAAAATATTTTTTTTTTTTTCCTCTTTCAAACTAGTTGAACATTCAGCCCACCGTTTATTTCTTGAGCATGATTTCCCTCTTTCTTGTTTTGGGAAATTTGCAGAAAAATTTGAGAAATGAAAGTAGGTCCATATATTTAATATTTTACATTGGATCTCATTTTTTGACAATATGAAGTGTACAAATCAGATTAAATGCAAATTTAGTGTCTACATACTCCTCATTAATAGACTCAAAGTAAAAAAAAAAAAAGTAGGTCCAGGGCCAACCAGACTGCATAGGCCCGCCCGTTCTATTGCCAACCCTGCCAGCATATCTTATATCTTTCTACGTCATCTATTTGTGCCTAAAAGGGGTGTTTAAAAAAAAAGGGTGTGGTTTGTTTAAAGGTTGCAACTTTAAATTAAGGTGCACCTCCAAATTTTATTATAACATGCAATTTTTTTTTAAATTTTTTTTAGAATTATCTGAAAATTTATTTTTATCTCTAATTATAAAATTTTTAAACTTCAAAAATGATTAAAATCAAGTGGATCTATAAATATATGAATATCTTGAAAATAGACGGTCTAGATAATGTGTTGCAAAATGCACTATTTATGGGACTCAAAATCTATTTTTTTTTCTTTTTCTATATTCATACATCTCGACGTCGAGATGATCAATTAAAGGATTTTTAACATTAAATACAATCTCCTTACAAAAAAGTTTTCTTCAAAAAATACTTAGAAGTCGAAACACCGTATTTCACTCAAGATGCCACTCCACTTTAGATCCACAATTTTACAGCTCATAATATAGTGCAAAGTTGATGATCTACGAAGAATTTTAATAAACAGTGATGAATGAACACGAATGAAATTTAAAATTATTTATTTTTTAAAATTGCAAGTCCTCTTTTATTTGCAGATTCGTGACATTCAATATTATAAATTTTAAAAGAGACTGCATTTGAACAGGTGCAACGGCTTCCCAGCTGTGCCCTCCATTGCGATTTCCCCAATGAATCCCAGACGATTCTTA